CACACACACACACACACAGAGGAAAGAAAACAAAGATAGAAAAAAAAAGAAATCTGAGATCCATCCAGGAGAAATGAGCCGTAAACGTCACAGCTTTTTCATCAGGGGAGGGGGATGTTTGCCAAGAGGGCACGGGCCCTTCAGGGACAGTTGGGTGGGTTTTGTCCTGTAGCACTGAGGCAAAGAGAGATGAGAGTGGCTGTACAGTTCACGGGGGGGGGGGGGGGGGGGACACAGCAGTCACACTGATAGAAATGGGCTAGGAACGAAGGAAACACACGAGGAAGCAGTTAAAATACTGGAACATGAAGGACTTTGCCATCATTTCAGTTCACCAACAACATTTTCTCTGGGAGGGAATCGATTTTCTTTCACCTTCGCTGCCTCCACTTTGGCAGGTTTAGTGATTCTCCTGTTAAAAGTCTCAAAAGAAACAAGTATGAGAACTATGAATCAGACAAAGGCGTCTCTCTCTAATGAATGAGGCACTGGGTTGACTTAAATGTCAAGCACTTGCTTTCCATCTGCAAAGCTAGGCCTGAATCAAAAGTGCCTGCGTCTGGTTCTTGTTTTTACAGGATGGCTCAGAATAAAGAAGTGCATTAAACTGGTTTCTGACTTTGGCTCCGTGGATGAGACGCGAGAGAGAGGAGACCTGCGGCTGCCAAACCCTAATCAGAAATGCAAACAAACAAACAGAGTGCAGCCTGGAGGTCCTTTATAAATGGTATCCCTTCTGCAGCCCTACTGTACATCAGTGTGTGTTTTTTGTGAGCGTGCGAGCATGCATTTGTTCTGTGTGTGGTAAACACAACGTTCACATGGAAGCTCATCGGCAGGTAGATTACTTTGGCCGGTCATCAGTGGGATGAGGCGATGGTGGCCGGCTGCTGCAGAGTCAGTGGTGATGACAGACTGACCGTCCAGACCACACGCAGGCCACAGGCAGCTGCACTGACCTCTTGTGGGGGAACTGTGACACTGCGGGGTGAATGTTGTGTTGTCTGTAGTTCATGTACTGGTGTTGTTCAGCTGTTTCAGATTAGTTTGCCTGCTCCGATAGACCTGGTCTTCATGAGGAAAATGAGCCATTGTATTTAGCTGTAGTCTCTCTATGTGTGTTGTTATATCCAATCGACATGTGCAAAAAAATCTGAATCAGCTCTTTTGGCCAAGTAAGTGGAATTTGACTCAAGCTCAGCATTACTCTCAATGTACTTACATCGTAAATGAACATACAATGAACATCAACCTCAGAAAAGTGCAAAAAATAAACAATATATATAAATTATTTCTTTATTCGACTGTTTCTCAACTACCAGGATTTTTAACATTAATGTTTTGTTTGACTAACTGTCCCAAACCCAAAGATGATCAGTCACGTAAGATGAGTAAAAAACTGGAAGCCTGATATTTCAGAAGCTGTGACAGTATTCAGCAATTTAGTCTGAAGAAAAACAATTATTCTACTATGATATTAAATTGGTGATTGATTTTCAGATGATTGAGGAATCAAATAATTGCTGAGTTACAAGGCAGGAGACTTTCTGCTGAAATGTCATGTCCTGATGTTCTTTCACGTGATGAATCAATTCATGAGTTAAATTCACCTTGAGGGAGAAATGATTAATTATTATTTCACCCGGGGTGTGTTTACTGTCTCTGTCTTTATCTATTAATTGTGAACTTGTGTGAATGCTGTAGTTGGCCCATAGCCTACTGCTCTTGAATGAGCTTTCACACTCAACACCTTGGAATTACAGCAAAAAGCATTTCATCATAATATTTTCTCTGTGAACCTTCATTCTACACATTCATATAATATGTCATAAAGTATAAGGTCACAGTTCTCATAAAAATGGTATTATGCTGTCACAGGAAGGTGTGGGCTGCATCAGTGGGAAGTTTGACGGTCTGAAGCGAAAAAAAAATAAATCAGTGGGGACGTTTTAGGGTAAAACTAATGATATTTGACTTCCTATAGGAAGTGAATCAACTGAAATAGTCCCCCAACTCCACCAAATTGCGACGGGGGTTGGTTATTATCATATGTATTACAACGTCACCTCACTTGCGGTTGGACCAGGCCCTTTCATAGAAGAATACTTTAAACCCCACAATGAGCAATTTTGTTTTACTAAGCTCTGCTTTTATGAGAACTCTTTTAGTAAATGCAACCATATGCCCAACTGGAATGAGATCCAAGGGAGCGAGAGGGGCTGAATGACAAGTGACCTTAAGAATCACTCTATAGAAATACTTTGGCAAAAACAGAAACTCAAATTGAGCAGCCCAAGTGACTCCACATCACATGCTGTGACTCTTGCCCCTCTGTTCAGTCACTGTAACCACTATAGGCAACATGTTGCATGCAGCAGCAACAAAGACGGGGTAACACAAAACAGACCAATAGAGTGACTTGTAAGGAGCCTTGGGAATGAACTAATCCTGATTAGTATTTCTGCTCCGAGGTCTCCTGTGGGAGCGCAGCTGGGTCCAACTGACCGGGTTCCCTCGCCAGCTGCAGTGACATGGAGCGTAAACAAACACGTCACATGCGTGGGGGAAATTGCAAACATGCACTTCAGTGTTCCCGACAGGAAAGAGAAGCATTAATCATACCATCAAACAGACAGACAGAGGAGAAACGGGCTTCCATCTTAAATTTGTAACTGTGTGTGTGTGCATCTTTATTAGGACTGTCCTAATCATAGGCCTTAGCGAGTGAGTGTGGGAGTTGGGTAAGTGGGAAGAGAATGCATTATATCGATGAGTGACCTCACTAATATATAAGTGCAAGGTTGTTTGTGTGTGTGTGTGTGTGTGTGTGTGNTGTGTGTGTGTGTGTGTGTGTGTGTGTGTGTGTGTCAGGTGGAAGGATGCTTGGAAATGACTGCACTCTGCACACACGTCTGTGGTTGTGGTCAGCGAGTGGGAAGCATTCCAAGACTGAGGGGGAATAAAACACATCCTGCCTCTGTCACTAACAGGGTTAATAAACGCCTGTTCAGCCCTTAGCAGAAAAATGGCAGCGTCAAACACTTTCTATTCAAAGCACTTTTTCCTTCGGCTCCATCTGCTTAGTAAAAAGGGGAAGACACCAATCTGCTGAGCTGGCTCCTCCACAGCTAAGTCCCAGCTCAACTGGAGGCTCGACAGGTGATCTGCTCCCTGTGTGCATCTTAAGTGAAGGGGGGGGGGGCTGTATTACCTCCATACAGCTGTCTCTCTGTCCCGGGAGAGCTGAGAAAGTGATTTGAAGAATGTGAGAGCTTTGGGGACACAAGGGAGCAAAAGGGGGAAAAGGAAAACAATTACAATTATTTTCATTACAGAATAATCTGCTGAATTTGTCTTTATTAATCGATAGTTACCTCGGTCAGGGAGGTTATTGTTTCACCATTGTCCATAGGTTTGTTGCAGGATTATGCAAAAACCTACTGAACAGATCTCCACAAAACTTGGTGGAAGGATGAGACATGGGCCACGAAATAAACCATTACATTTGGGTGGAGATTGAGACAAAGGGGCAGATGCAGGACTCTTTTTCATCAGTGCAAGATAAGGCCTTTCTGGGGACATTTTCATCGATTTCCCAAAGAATAAATATCTTGGTGTGGATCCAAATAAAAATCCAGACCTATAGCAGATTTAAATGTGGTTGCATTAGGGGACTGTTGGACCTTGGCATAGTTATTTACTCTCCTGAGAGCTGTTCTAGTTTTGTTTTGGAAAATGTGATAAAAAAAAAAAAAGCCTTTACAATGTCTCAGTGTCCAAAGTGACAAACCAGAGATCGATTTTTGCTTGAAAATTTAAATAATTGATCAATTCTCCACATACAAATAATACGTCATAAGGTGAAATTTTAGGAAAACTTATCTCGAAGAGTTGAATGAAAAATGATAGACTTCATATTTGTCTGTTAAATATACAGATAAGTATAAGTCTAGGTCATAAGATGGTTTGGTTAGCTTAACTTAGCGTAAAGGCTGGAAAAAGCTAAGGTTCGCCTGCATGGCTTTGTTTAAGCTAAGCTCACTGTGGTGTTCAATAAATTCAAAATATGAAGTGGAAAGTGATAATTCACCATGAAGAGGAGAGAACAAAAAAACCGGTGAAAAAGTCAAAGAGAAAACAGGAGACGTCGGCGTCTCTGAGAACTCGTCCCTTTTGCTTTTTGACATTCGCTTTGGGAGAATGAAACTGAAGCAGTAACTTTTAACACACATGCGTGGCTCACACAGACCCCAGCATGTTACCTCACGTTGCAGCAATAAACTCAATCAGACAATCTTCAAGTCTTTTCCCTTGAAACCAGATCAGAGTGCTCGGCCTCGCTGATGTCGACAGCGCACACCTCTCCGTTTAGCAACAAGTGCACAGAGCACGAAGTGCAGTCACGCAGACACTCTCCAGATGTGTGCGTCAGATCAATAAGTGTTATGGAGTGAATCAGGCTTTCATTCGGATTAACTTTACTGTCATTGTTTGGGAAAACTCAGGCGAGAACATTCATCACCTTAAGTGTTTCGTGAGTCATAATATCGACAGATGTGTTTTGCTTGGCTGGATGCTGCTGTCAGTGACGCATCGTTTGATTCCTCTCGATGATAGAAATGCATATATCCTGTACAAAGACAATACGCTCATGCACAATCAACTACACACGCACACGCACACCTCCTGCCTCCAAGCAAACACAATAACAAGGGCTGTGTGTTGCAGCTGCAGGCAGATTTAAGTGACAAGCCAAACCTGTCTGCACTGTGGCCAGCGTCCTGATTCACAGCTATGTATGGTTCCTATAATGCAGACTCATTACATGGAAAATGCACCAAAATTACAGCCTGCACTCGACCAGAATCATGTTTAGATGTAACAGAAAGAAGATGTCAACGTCCCCCCGTCGCTCCCCTCCTCCTCTGATGAAGGAGGCTGATAACCATTTCGGATGTAAATAGTTTTGGTTTCCCTGTTTCCCCACATCCACATGACCGAATCAGCCTGGAAATCTAAATGAAGCCTCAGTGATTATTTACTCGACTGTTTTTTGACTTCTCCTTCCTCTGTAGTTGTTTTTGTGGCGGGGACCGGGAGTAAACTATGGGAGGTGCCTTCAGACTCCTTCACCTCCTCCTCCTCCAACCTCAGTGAAGGCCTGCAGTGGCTGCCCCACTGTCAGTACCGCCACCCACAGGAGAGAGTGAGAATCACAGCAGACGTCCCCCCAAGACTGGATGGCACATGGGTGTCAACAAGGTAAAGCCATAACAATGATTTACTTCTACATTATAAGAGCAAGTCAACAATTTAATATCTTTTCTATCAGATACACAACCGTTAAAGCTGATTAGATTAGTGAAGAATGCTTCTGTATAAACTATGAGGGGTCGCTTGTTCTATAAAAACTGGAAATTGAAAATGGAATCGGATGCTATGACCTTCACACTTTCCAGATGTCAGACCAAACGGGAGATTTTGGATGAATGTGTGAGACGTGAGTTATGGGGAAAACATTTTTGGGAAAAGTAACGTTCATTCCTACAGTTCCAGAGATCCAGAGAGTCAAGGCCAGAGGAGCCCTGAAGCTCAACATTTGTTTAACCTCATATTTTCAAATTCAGTGTCTCTTGTAACTTTTAAAACTTGAGTATTTTTTTGCATAAAAGTCATAATTCACCAGGATTTAAATGGAGGCAGATTCAACGAGAGCTTTTGACTTGGACTTGAGTCAGGTTTAATGTAAGTAACAGAAACAAGGACATGACTGTTGACTTCCTTGAGGGTTAGACTTGACTTGAGATTGGAGTCATGTGTTTTCACGTAGTTTTGAGCTGCTATTGAACGGATTCAGTTTCAGTTACAAACACTATTTTAAAGATTTTGATTAAAACTGAGCAGCTGCCACAGGTGGTTTACGTCAGATCCCTAAAATATGTCTCTGTGGCCAAGTAAAGCCCGGTCCCTGGCTGACATGTGCTGGGTGATGCTGGTTTGATATGAAGGTGCTTTGATAAATGTTTGGATGGCACAGGCAGCATGTGTCTCCAAACATGTTGGACAAAGTTTTATCTTGTTTCAGAGAGTTTTGTTTAGATGGGCTGCAATGATTTTCATTATTCAAGGTGATCATGATGGAACAACTGTTTAATCCATTCCACTATAATTACTAATGGTCAAATATTATGTTGGCAGATGCCCAATAGTTTCAAACTCGAAATTTCACATTTAAGAAGCTGGATTTTGTTACTCAAAGTAGTTTCCAGTTAATTTTCAGATTTTTGACTCATTGACTAATCATTGTGTTGGTTCAGCTACAAAGGATCTGGGATGCTGGTCTTTTCCAGGCCAAGGCCACATCCTTCCACCAGATTTGGTGGAAATCAGTCAGGTCGAAATTGTGTAATCACAAATGAACCAACAAGCAAATCAACAAACACACATGGATTAAAGGAATATCTGTGCTCTTCAGTCCAGACTCCTCACAACTGTATTAGCTTCTCTTTACCGAGGAGTTCTTTCTAGTCTTTGATAAAAGCTGTTATCAGCAGTTTTGTTCGTAGCTCAAGAAAGGAAAATATTAGTTATTAACCTTTAGCACCTAGAGGACTTCTAGTGATCATCCTCTCCCCCTGTGTCCAGATGTGAGGTTCGGCCCGGTCCAGAGTTCCTCACCCGCTCCTACACCTTTCACCCCAGCCGTCACTTCCAAGCCCTGCAGCACTACTACACCGACAGCAGCTGCGAGGACCCGGCCTACTCCCTGATGATCTGGGGGAAGCTTCGTGTGCGCCAGGCCTCCTGGATCACCCGCGGAGGCACCGAAGCTGAACACCACCTGAGCAAGGTGGCTATCGTGGTCCACAGCCAGGCAGCCAGGCAGAGGCTGGCCTCCAGGCTGCCTGCGGCCTGTGTTGGTCTGACCCTGAGTCGAGTGGTACCAGGGAAGCTGTATGAACTGTACAACACCCGGGCAGGGAGGGGGTGTCTGGCAGCGCTGGGTTTCTCCATGATGGAGATGGGTCTAATTCGGGTGGAGACGCAGCATCACAGCCACGGAGGGAAGATCCAGGAGCTGTTTTTAGGAGACATCCACACTGACTGGACTCAGAGAACTCAATATAGACCCACAGGGTACCAGCAGCCGCTGCAGAACGCCATGGTGAGACATTACAATGTATTTTTGTTTTCTGTTTATTATCTACTAATGTAAGATGTTCCTAAAAGACTGAATACAAGGGCAAGAAAGGACATAAGCCTACGAATAAACCAAAAACATTTTCATAGACAGAACTATTCCTCTGGGCCCTTTCTACCTTATATACATTCTTGCTGATACATTTTCTATCATTATTAATTGATGAATTGTTTGATTTCAGGTTAAATTGATAAATAAGGATATTTTGGGGTGTTTTACATAAAACTAATATGTCATTTAGAAACGTTCCCTTGAGGTTTAATGTATCATATTATCCTGAAGCATTTGAAATGTGATGATGAAATGATTATTAATACTAATATTGATATAAAATATACAATGATAATGAAAACACTCCGTCTCATCTCTCCCTCCCTTTTCACAGCATCACATCCATCCCTGCCCCATGTGTGCTCTGGTGTACCGCTCCTCAGAGCAGCGCCCCCCAGTGTTGCCCCGCAGCCCTGCAGCCCCTCTCTCTCTGGCTGGCCGTTGGGTCAGCCAGCACTGTGAGACCCGTCCCACCGTCCTCTTCCTCACTCGTGACTTCACCTTTGACCCTGACCAGCACGCATGGGAGGGCCTCTACCATCACTACTCAGACCCCGCCTGCTCACAGCCCACGTTCACCCTGAGAGCTTCTGGCCACTACGCTCAGGGAAACCCCTCGACCAAGATCTCAGGAGCCACAGAGTTGGTCTTCAAGGTCACCCAGGTGAGAGTCACGGCCATGGAGGAGCCTTCAGCCAAGCTGCTGAACGGGACCAGGCCAGGAAAGTGTGGTCGTGCCGGACGCTGGGAGGTCGGAGTGGAGCAGGACTTGACCCCCACTGACGGGTGCACGGTACTGGGCATAAAGCTGCCGCACAAGGAGTACGAGCTCTTCAAGTCTGAGGTGGACCACAGGAAACATCCCCTGCTGTTCATCGGAGAGAGGCCCACTGATGGATCCAATCCCGACCGACCTCAGCGGAGACCCACTTCCTTTCAAGCTCCCATGGTGCCTTGCAGTGGAGGGGAAACACAGCGCTCTCATCGCTATGGATCAGGATTTAACAGCAAGCAAGTCCAGTTAACAGCCAACGGGACGGAGAGACTGGCACAGCTGATGTTACTGCTGTTTGCATCTTTGCTGTGCAGCTTGTTCTAGAGACTAATTCAACCTGTTTCGCAGCTAAAGTCATTAACAGACATTTTCTGGAAGCTCTCTCTCCCTCCTCCTCATGATGAAGACCACATGTGTGATGGTGAAGAAAAATGGAGACATTCAAGAGAGCTCTGTCATTTTTAATATGTGGCTTTCAGATGCTGCCTGTAGGTTCACTTTAATGACTCTTTACTTCAGCTGCATTTCTACCTAAAACTAATTTGTATATAAACTTTCAACATATATACAGCTGGCATAATTTCAACATGTCAAAATACATTTATATACTTTTAAACCATGTTCCTTGAGTATAATGATCAAAAAGCTGTTCTCACGTCACAGATCAATTCATTTGTTTTTTACGTTAATCCTGTTTTCCTGTAATTACATAACAACGATGAAACAGGGATCAGTTTTTTCCACTTGGGATGAAGGCTGGACATTCCAGTGGACATTTTTACCATGATGCAGTTTGACTAATGCACTTTGTACATATCTTTTTTTTATATAAACATACTGGAAAGAAAAGAGGTAGACGTAGAAAATGTCTGCACTCTAACATCTTCATCGGTCTGATCCCACTGTGGTGTGAAATGTTGCCTTAACTTTTTCCCTAAGAGCACATTAGTCTGCTCCTCTATCAACAGCCAAGATAAATCAGAAAATATTTATTTTAACCATCTATAATGTACTTTTTGATAAAAGATGTGGGTCTAATATTTTAGTTAGTTTCACCATTTAAGAAGTGATTCTTTTCTATGTGTATTAAAAAATACTTTTCATAATAACTTGTTGTTGAACTAGTCTTTTAAACAAGTCTCGTCTGAGAGCAGCTAGTGTGGCAAGTTTAGCCTTGATAGCTTTTCTGTAGGGGCTTGACCTTTGTGTTACAATCAGCGTGCTAACACAGTGACAATGTTTACATATATATATATATACATACATATTAAATCTTCCCACGAGTGAAGCCAATAATCAGCTGCAGTATGAGTAATAATCCATGCTCCCCATGTTAGCAGATGGGACATGAACCAAACTAATTGTCAGCTGATTGGTCGAGCAGTTGTTTCTGCAGAACCGCAATACCACCACTCCACACCGCGATCACTACGGCTCAGACGCAGGCTCCAAATTGTAACGTGACAAGTGCAAGATGGTGGCACCATTAGGGCATGGTCCCAATATCACAGGTCAAAGTTCACCAAAGACAAACTCCACGCAGAGCCGTGCTGTGATTTGCTTCATCACAGGAAGCAAATGTTTTATTCGCTTCCCCGCTCGCACAGATTAGAAGTGAATGGGAGGTATAGATTCTGGATGTTTTAACTTCATTTTTGTGCAATGAAATGGAGACACTTTTATCCCAGTCTATGAGACAGAAAAACTTACAATTATTCTGACTTAGTAATGTCTTTTTGTACTATGACATGCTAAAATCTCAGCTATGAAAAAGGCCTATTCCTCCTGAGGGGGACATGTGAGTCTGTAGCAAATTTCACGGTGATCCATCCAACAGTTGTTCAAATATGCCAAACCACAAATATTAACCTTACGGTCATGCTAAAAGAAAAATCAGAGGCTCACACTTGTCAGTGGGATTCATCATCAGGATAACCATGAATGTGTGTACAACATTTCATGGTCACTGAGTCATTGTTGAGATTTCTCAGTCTGGACAAAGTGGTGGAGGGAACAACCGAGACAAGCAGACATGAGAGTTTATTTGTGGTGTGTCCCAAAGCTGCAGTTTTACTTTTTCAAAAAGCAAACAGAAGATTGGGGCTTTCGGATCAGCAGGATTTTGTCGTCTCTCTGGTGTTCATATGATTCAAAGCCCAGATAGAAGGTGAGTGCGCGGCCATTTTATCTGCCAAATAACTGTCACAAGGCTCACACATTACACACGATATTCCAACTGCTGGAACCACACAGAAGGATATCAGATTGGATGCACACAGTATCATGAGAGTGCACAGCCGCCGGCCCACAAAATAGATTTTGCAGTTGCTCTGACAGTTAATGAGCCGAGAGAAGCAGCAGTTAGGAGGCAACAGAGGAATATATATATATATATATATATGTATAAATCCAGATTTTCTGTGTTATGACTGAATCAAGCGAAGCGTCATGCTCCACCGAGATATCTTCCATTTGTAAAATCCTTACACCTGCTTCTACAAAATGACTGCAGGCATTTCAGTTCAACTCAGTTTCCAGCTTTGATGCATGGAGAAGAATTCTGGTAAAATGATTATAAACTGACAGGTTAATTGGAAGAAGCAGAAAACACACTAATTAAGACTCCTTAATAGAGGCTACATTAAATATAAATATGTTACGTTGAATTTCCTTATGTTATGTTGCATTATTTTTATGTCACACTATGTTGCGTTGCGTCAGTTATATTATATTATGTTTCCAAATATTCCCCGCGAGTGAAGTAAAAGTATAAAATCAGAAATGCAAGGATTCATTCATTAGAATGTCTGTACCCTAATCCCCCTGCAGTGAGCTTAACTGGAAAAACAAGTTTAAATAAACATGATCAAGTCCAAAATCCATGCTTCTTTTAGCTCTGTTGATAAGATTATCTTCTATCAACTTAAAAGGTCTCCACTATGCTCATCAGCTGACGTAGCTGCTAACAAGCTAATTCACTGAGGCAAGACTTGAAGGCTTTTTTCAGAATGAAAAACAATCAAGGCAACAAGAGGAGATGGAGATGGTGACCCTGCTTTGCCTTTAGAATCAACCTGATTCATCTTAAAGGCACAATTCATTCATTTCTGAAGCATGTGTATGAAGCATAACATGAAAGTAACATCTTAGCTTCATTTTACCCTGAAATGACTTGAAATGGTGCAATCATCAGGTGAAAACCTAAAGACCTCTGGACTTTGCAAACAGTTCAGTCTTGTAGCTTTATCTCTGAAAACAGATGCATGAGTGCCGCAGCCCAAAATGGAGCACAGACAGCAGTGAGGGCTTTCTGCCATGAGAGCAAAACAAAAGCTAAAAGACACTGAAAAGCTCAGTTGCTGCAGAGTGGAATGATACATGGGGCTGTCGCGTCATTCACTTACAAGTAGTCATTAAGACAAAATGATTGATTAGAGCTACATCAGGATTACATTACACTATTCTGCCTTGGTGGGTTTTATCTGTCATACATCTTTAAAATGAGGCAGAATGAATGAGAACGGAGGGAGGTGGTTTTCCCAGAAACGTAAAAACAATCTAAATACACTATGAAGGAAGGTAAAATGATGTTAGTTGGCCCTTTGGTGTTGAACTGGAGGGGACAAAGAAAGAAAGAAAAAAGAAAGCAGGAGGTAGTCTGTTCCAGAGGCTACATACTGTTCCTATTAACTCCTGCGAGAATGGTGATGGCAGCTGCTCGCCCCATGAGGTCATCCTCCAGGCTTGGATGGAGTATATAGGTCTGTAACCCCCACAAGCCAACACACAAAAAAGGAACAGACACTGATTGAAAGAAAAACTGAGGGTGGATGAATGGCATTTCTCCGCACAATAATGTGAGCAATATGAAGTTGGGCCGACTCCGAACCTGGATAAATCTTTGTTGAAACCAGTGAATCCAGTGGTAACTGCATAGAGATGGCTGGATGGTGATGATAACTGAGAGCAGGGCTGGGGGGGCAGCACAGTTTTTCATCGTCTGTTCGTGGTTTCTGTTGTGCGCCATAAAGTAGACTGTGAGGGCGGAGAGGAGCGCAGGGCCAACCTGTTAGTAATCAGGCCCGGTGGACGATTATTAAACGCATCCACAGAACACAAGCAGATAAAACACAGACCCAAAGCAGTAAGTAAAGTAAAAAGCATGATTGCGTTCTGGATGCATTTGTGTGTGTGTTTGCACAAGGTTAATTTGAGTCATTATGTGAACTAATGGTATTAAGATGAGGTTAATTTGTATTACTTCACCATTATAGTTCCGTCCAGTGGTTTCCAGCCTCGGAAATGGGCGCCTGCCAAAGGGTCACAAGAAAAACTGTGTGGTCACAAACTGGAGTGCAAAATACTTCATTTCAAATAAAAGTCCTGCCTTCCAAATGTTGATTAAGTGAAAATAGCATCAGCTAAAGTTACATGAATATGAAAGTATTCATGTGAAAGCAGTATTTTAATGTTGTTGCTAAGTCCAGTGGAGCTAAATCTATTTTCTACTCTGTGATTTAATTTAATGTGAATCAATGCATATAAAATGTGTACTTTAAGTTATTTAATGCTACGTCACATTACGTCACGTTATTTTATGTTGTGTTTCATTACATTACCTAAAGTTATGTTTCAACAGGTTACTGTATTTCTATCTCACATTATATTGCATTACATCAGTTACTAAAAGTATAAAAACAAATCAAAGTAGTCAAGTGAAGTATTAGTATTTTAGCTACTTTCCACATAGCATTAAAATAGAAAAAGTAGAAAAGAGCTCATATGGCTCTGTCATGAGGTTTAATTGGGTTTAATTGTTTATGATTGTTTTAATTATTTCATTTGGTCTTATTCTTTCTTTCTGGTCTGTCTTATAATATTGTCAATCGTATGTGAAGCACGGCACTAACCTGCATGAAAGATGTTATATAAGTAAAGCTTTGATTGATGGGTTAACACTTTCCACCACCTCTGAAGCTCAGTAAGTTACACGTTATACATCCTCATTGAAAAATAACCATCTGTTTGTTGAAGTCTACTATATAATATTTAACAGACTAACATGAGAGTAGTTTGATCTTCTCAAGTGCTGGAAAGACGGAGAATGAGAACATTTCCCAAAACTCCTCCGTTGAGAAAAAATAAAAATGTTTCATTGTGTGAAACTTTGAATTACTTAATATTTTGGTATCAAACCAAGTAACACAAGAATTAAGGTGACACGTGGTCATACACAAGTGAACTGGCCAAAATTCCTTCACTGAACAAGCAGTTGAAATCCTCCAGACTAGAAATCACGTCCAAAATGATGTCAATCCAGCAACAAATGTGATGAGGAAACTCTAAAGGGCCACAGGAGAAAAACCATGAAAATCTGTCCTGTGTGCAGTTCACGTTGTTCACATGGATCTCTGCAACACATGTGAGGTTTTAGCTGACATTTATGAAAATAAATCTCTTAGGTTTGTTGTTTGACTTTAGACTTTCTGTAGAGGTTGGATTGCAAAGGACCCAAAACGTTGTAATATGACTTTTGGAAGAATGTTCCTATGGACTGTAAAAAGAAAAGAAAACAAAACAAGCCCTAAGGACTTTCCTTTCAGCTAAACCAATTTTCCAAACCACATACAGTTTGGTGGTTTAGTCTGATAAATGTTCTGGTAAGAAAGAGTCAGCGATGCTTTTGGATGGAGACTCAATAGAAAACACAGCATAGGGATTTTTCTTCCCCTCCCATCTCCAGCCTGCCCATAAAAATCTTGCATATCCAGTTAACACACACACACACACACACACATCGCTGAGATGACATCAGTGCAGTAGTACGGGTAACGTCCAACCGCTCTCTCTCATTCAAATTTCAGGCTCTGTTAAGAAAATCCCATTATTTCTATAAGAATATGAGCTGCAGCTGCCTCATAAAAGATAGCATCTGCCATAAGTTGACGGCCTCAGTTGAAACAAATGAGTTTCTATTGAGAAATGTGTCTTTTTGGCTTCAGGACAAATGCACAAAGTGTTTCTACCCACAGAGCTGCAGCGCAGGGCAGCGACTGCCTGCTTCATCTCACGCCAAACAAAAAGGGGGCTCCTTTCTG